GTTATAAAAGAAAAGAAAAGAAAAGAAAAGAAAAGAAAAGAAAAGAAAAGAAAAGAAGTCGCCCTGGCCAGATAAATAAGTAAATATTGTTAACAATTAAAATGACGCTTAAATAAAAAGGTCTTCGCCTGGCGCCGAAAAACAAATAACGACGGCGCCAGGCGGACCTCTCTGGGGAGCGCGTTCCATAGGTTGGGCGCCACCGCTGAGAAAGCCCTCCTCCGAGTACCTACCCTCCTAATGTCCTTCACGGAGGGTTCCCGGAGAAGGGCCTCTCCCGCAGATCTCAAGGGGCGGCTGGGCATATATGGATGTAAGCGCTCCTTCAGGTAACCAGGACCCAAGCCGTTTAGGGCTTTAAACGTTTAGGGCTTTTTTTCCCTGGATGTGTCTGTGCAAAGGTTGCCGGCCCTTTAGCACCCCTGAAAAGAAAGCAGCAAGAACAGTGGATGTGAAGCAGGGGGACCCCGAGAATTAAGAGACCCCCTCTTCTGGGCAGGAGGGGCAAGAGCTGGGGGAAGCTGGTGGGGCTGGGGTGGTGAAGAGCCCCCGCCACCCCCATCTTCAGGGGGTGGCGTGTTTCGTGGAAGGCTTCGCAGGTCCTGAAGCAGGAACCTTAAGGTGCGACATGCTGCTGTTGATTTTTTTGCTGTCTTTTCGGGTGGGCACTGTTTACCTCTAGCCTTGCCTCCCACTGGAGCATGGTCCCAAGAGCCCCCCTAAAACGGAGGCTGGCCTTTGAGCAGAGGTTCCCCGCCACCGCTCGTAGGGGCTCGGGATGGACCCCACGCTGTCCTCACATTAGCCCTGTGCTGTGGCGTGTGGGTCTGGACCCACATCTCCTCGGAAGAAGCCCAGCACTTCTTCCATTGCTCGCACCTCGCACCCCGTTCCTCGAGGAATGGGGATAAGGTAACGGGGAGAGCCAGTGTGGTGTGGTGGTTAAGAGCATGGGACTGGGACTCAGAGGATCTGGGTTCGAGTCCCCGCTCGGCCATGGAGCCAACTGGGGGACTTTGGGCCAGTCACAGACTCTCAGCCCAGCCTACCTCACAGGGTTGTTGTGGTGGGGATAAGATGGAGGAGAAGAATGATGTAAGCTGCCTTGAGCCCTTTGTAGGAAAAAGGCAGGATATAAACCGATAAATAAATAAATAAGCAACATTCGGGAAGCGCCAGAGTTTCTCTGTGGGCGAGTCTGGGGAAGAAGTGCTCCAGGTGTTGGTCGGTTGACCATTTGTGTCCCTTGAGTCGCTCTTCTTCGTGGATAAAAACACAAAGGCAGCCCAGAAAGGAAAACGTGCAGGTAATGAAACAGGACGTGGTCGTGATCTGGTGGAAATGGCAAAAGAAGCGTAGAATCATGAGCTGCAAGGGGCCCAGCAGGCCGCTGCGTCCAACGGCCTGCTCAGGGCAGGACTGGAGTCACCCATCCAGATCTCCGCCAGGCCCAACCCTGCTTAGCTTCCAAGATTAGGCAGGATCGCCATTTATTTTCCGTTGCACTTTGATCCTCTGGGGCTCTGAAGGTGGCTATATAGTCCCTGCACCCGCATGCGGCTATTTTATTCCCACAACATCCCTGTGAGGTAGGTTGGCTTAGCCCTAGGCCAGCCAGTGGGCAGTGAACCCTGGTCTCTCTGCTCCCTGGCGTGGCACGACAGCCTGGCAGCCCATTGGACTCCAACTCCCACCATCCCTAGCCAGGCTGAGGAAGAGTGTGCTCAGATGTTCTTCAGGAAGTGTTGGGAGAACTTTTGCTGGCCAAGTTTATGACTGAACTGGCAATGAGCCTTTAATATGGTTTTATCTAGCCTGGCAGTGACCATACCTTTGGTTTCTTTTTAATATTGTCATCTGCCCTGAATCTTGGAATGAAAGTTTGAGAAAGAGCCGCTAGGCCAGAGGTCGGCAACCCGCGGCTCCGGAGCCGCACGTGGCTCTTGAATCCCTCTGCTGCAGCTCCGTCGCTCAAAATACGTGTCACAGCCCCCGGTCTGCAACCCGCGCTGGCACGGCACAGCCGCCGATCCGTTTCATAAATGCAGCACACTATAGTTTCTTTATACATAGCATAAAGGTAAAAAGCAATATATGCAGTGTTATTTTCATTTCAGAGGTCAAAAAAGTTTTGCGGCTCCCGGTGTTTGCTTTGCTGTGGGAAACGGGTCCAAATGGCTCTTTGAGTGTTAAAGGTTGCCAACCCTTGAGCTAGACAACCAGTTGTGTTTGTTTGTTTATACATATTCCGCCTGTGCCTGTGCCACTTTTCAGAGTATTGCTTTTCCTTCCAAAGTGGCCTACAAAACTCTGGGAGGGAGTTCCCCAGATGAGGGGCCTCTGCTAGGAAGGCCTTAAAGCGCACGCCATTTGCACGGCAGATGCATGCCGGAATCGTACTCAAAAACAGAAGGCTGCTGGGAGCTCTTGTCTAGCAGATCTGGAGGGCACAAGGTTGGGGAAAGTTTGTGTACTGGGTGTAATGGAGATGGGGGACTGGGGTGGGTGGGTGGAGGAGAAGCATCCGTGGCTCGTGCTTGGTATTAACCACCTCCAGCTAAGGACCAGCTTTTCTGCTCCCTTGCCAGCTGAAAGGGGCCTTTGCAAGCGCTGTCCTGGCAATTTGAAAAAAAAAAATATATAGCCAGGGTGAATCGAGATTTTATATGTATTTATTTATATGAGTGTTCGTTTATTATGTTGGTAGCCATCCCGAGGCTCATGCGAATGGGATGGCATACACAAATTCCGAATAAATAAATAAATGACCAGTCTTGGCTCTTCAGAAGCCGCCAGGATGGCCCTACAGCAGTTGTGGCTCACGGACCTTGGCGGGAAGAGCCGGAGATGCAATTGTGCATGCGGTTGTGGGGCCACACTGGCAAGCTCAGCCGAAGCATCCAGGCTGGAATACGAACGATTTGGGATTTGAAGACCGCTCTGTGACATTTGCCTTTTCCTTGCCTTTTCCTAACAGAAATGGATCTGCACACAAAATGCGTGGTGGACGTAGATGCAAACAAGGTTATTCTGCATCCCGTGAACACTAACCTCTCGAAAGGAGATGCCAGGTATGTTTTCGTCAAGAGCAATGACATCGCTGCTGGGATTGGTTCGCTGCTGGCAGGAACTGGGGCACGGGAGAGGCTCCGAAGGTCTTTTGGAGAGGGGCAAAAGCGGGTGGTTGATGCTCCGGCTAAGTTGCTCCCGACCTAAAATGAGGGTTCCCATTTTAGCTACATTTTTGTAAGGTGGTGAAAATATGCGCCAGGAGTTATAGAAATGAACAAGCTTCCCCGCCTAGCTCTCTGCCTCTCCTCTGGTCCAAATGCGAGTTTGGCATAGTGAGGTGTCGTGGTTAAGAGCCTGGGACTGGGACTCAGGCGATCCGGGTTCGAGTCCCCGCTCGGCCATGGAGCCCACTGGGTGACTTTGGGCCAGTCACAGACTCTCAGCCCAACCTACCTCACAGGGTTGTTGTGGGGATAAGATGGAGGAGGAGAATGGTGTAAGCTGCCTTGAGCCCTTTGCAGGAAAAAGGCAGGATATAAATCGGAAAAAAAAAAAAGTTTCCAACCACAGTGTGAGGAATTACTCAAGCTCATTTGCTTTTTCCAGGTCATAAAATATGACTGTTTTAAATGTGACAGCAAGTTTTCAGACAAGTTCAAACGTCATCTTGTTTGAAGGAAATGCATTCAGACTTTGAAGGAAATTTGGTAGGTGGGGTATAAGAGAGGAGGAGTAGCTGTCAATTGGAAGACAGCTGGTGGTGTGTCCCTGAATATTATGGTCTGTAGCATACGGATGCTTGCTGAATGTAACGAGACTTTTAATGGAAAAAATAGAGGTGAATGCTTTTGTCCTGTGTTTGCACTGGAGGAGTTTTATTTGCTCGATTTGGTGCAATTCTGTACAATTTAAGTTTTGGTAGAAAGGCAGATACAAATTGACTTACTAAATCAACAGTGGCTCCCAACTCCACAGCAACTAGTACGCAGAGGCCTGGTGTCCAGAATTATGAATTAGCCATTGTGACTAGTAGCCAGGAGCAGCCGTCTCTTCCATGGTAACTGGATGAGGAAGAAGATGCAAAGCTGAGTGGCGGAAATCATGCTGTTTCCCTACCTCACCCCAGTGCTTCTAGTTAAAGATTCCCGAGCGAGACTGCAGCCTATTTTCCTATCAACAGTCTGTCAAAACCACCAAGCCAGTGTATTAGTGCTCCAAACAAGAAAAAAACAGCCTCACAAAACATTAAAACCAGCAGCTGGCCATCCTTAAACAACAGTGTAAAAGTCCCAGAAGAGGCCTGACTTGCCACCTTTTCTAAAAGCAGGGAGAGTTGGAATGGCATGGGAACTGTATCCCAGACGTCCTTTGAGTCAGAGTAGGGAATCCTGGGCTTGATGGCCCAGAGAGCTAGTCCTGTATTGGAATGGCAGGCAGTTAGTAAATTATGCTAGTCGAAGGTCTCCGTTAGGGGAGTACTCTGTGTGTGTCTGTCCTTGAATTGTGTTTGGAAGTTGCAGCTTGCGCAGACTCCAGCAGCCAGGTTGATAGCAGGGGCCGGAAAGATTAAACGCGTCGCACCAATTCCAGCCTGTTTTTCGTACTGTCTGCCTACGCATTTCTGGGCCAAAGTCAAGGTGCTGGTTTTGACCTATGAAGCCTGACACGGCTTGGGACTGCACCATGGGATGGAACACTTCTCCTGATGTGACACTTCCCAGACACAACAATCCACCCCTGACGCCCTCCCCCAAGTGCTTCCTTTAAGGTAGGCTCGGAAGGCCTTCTTGGTCGTGGCCCCCTGAATGAGGAGTGCTTCCCGCCGTGAGCTCTATCCAGTGCCAACACGGCCGGCACTTTGGAGCCAGGTTACAACCTTCTGCTCTCAGGTGTTTGACTATATATGATGGGCCCTGCATTTTATTGTAACTGTTTAAAAATGGTGTATGAATTGCACTTGCTAAAAATTTCATATTAAGTTTTTTGAGAGTTAGTATTGTTTGCAAACCTCCTAGAGCACTTTGGCGGTTGGTTGGTATAGAAAAGGAATAAATGAAAAGGAAATGTAGCTCCCAGATGATACGTGGCATTGAAACTCACTGTGAGTTTGATTAAATATATTGGAGGCTTAGTATCGGCTTCCATTAATCTCTGACCTCATATTGACCAGTTCTCTGGGAAATACACATCCCTGTTGCACTTAGGAGAGTATATCGTTTCATGTACAGCTGTGCACTTCTTGCAAATGGGCCCTTTTAGCTCCGGGCAATGCTGCTTTAATCCTGGTTTAAGCAAGTTATGGAGCCTGAATTTAACTTCCACTAGCCGTGGATTGTGCATCGTTTCCTCTGCACTAGAGAACATAAATCTGGAAGTGAAAAGCGTGTGGTTCTGGGATTCTGATCCACATGGGTGCCAAGTGAGGAGGGATCAGATTCTAGTGTGGGGATGCGAGAGCTGTGTATGAAAGCTGCTGCAGCTCCTTCAGAAGCAGCTGTTTTGTTAGCTGAAGGCACATATGACGTCCGTGGCTCGTGGTAGAGATAAAAACAAAGACCTATAATCAAGCTTCTGGCGCTGCCTTCTGTAGCAGGGCAGAGAAAGTGCACCGTCGGCAAAATGCAGTCTGGGGAGATTCTATGCTTCCTTTTGCTTCCCTTTTAAAAATGTTTCTAACTTTTACGGCTGTGAAGTTTTAATGTGTGAGTAATGCCGAGAATGCGAGACCCAAGAATTCAAGAGGTGGAGAGGGGCCTCGAAGCATGTATCACATCATAGGATGATGCAGAATCCAAGATGGTGCACATAACATTTGTCTTTTCCATGTACGTCGCGGGATCTGGTTTACCTTGGCTCTTGTTTCAGTATAGTTCTGCACAGCTTTAGCAGATTGAGTGGTAGGGTTTTGAAAATAGCCCTGGAGGCCAAATAAAGTTCCCCGTTCATCTCGAAGGTAGACAACGATCTCTCTCTCGCTCTTCTCTCTATATCTATATGAATAAATTTGTAGGATTAGAAGGTATCTCAGAGGGCATCTAACCCAAGTCCTGAGGCTGACTCCTCTGGCTATGCCGGTGAGCAAGATCTAGCGAAATCCCAAGGGAGTCCCTCCATATGGGGAAATTTGTGCCTGGTCCTGCTATGGGAAATCCCATAGGCTTTCATGTGATCTGCCAGGAAATGTTTTCTTTGCTGCCGGGCTGGTTGCCTGCGAAGAGCAAGGGTAGAGACAGACCTGCCTCCCCTGTCCGTGCAGAGCTCCACGGCCGTGTGCTCCCTCTTGTGGACCGGCGCCTTTTATCTGGCGCTTCTTGGATTCCCTTGACTTCTCATTGCTGTCTTTTGCGTGGGATGTTTCTGAAATTGCCGGGAAATTCTTCATCCACATCCCTCAGTTTCTCCTCTGAAGCGCTTCAGGGAAGATAGTACCCAGCTAAATGCCGCTTGAGTCCTGGCCAATTATTATAAAACCACAAGGACACAAATTACTCTTTCTGAGGCCGTCTGTTAGAGTTCTGCCAGCAGGGGAATCATGGGCCATTGCTGTGGAACATGTAATTAGAATCCACGGCTTTGTGGGGGGGGGGGGTGGCGGAACCAGGTTGAGTAATGCCCCGCTTTGCTCCGAAACTTTCCCTTCTGTGGACTAAGTCAAGTTGCTGAAACATTGGGCAAAGTTCAGACTTCCCTGACAAGATCATAAGGCAGGTGGTGTGCTTTGTACACTGGCAGGCATCCCGCTTTCTAAATAAATAGCCTGAAAGCTCCAGTGTGGAGTTGAAAATCCACGGGCGGGCGTTGCTGTAGTTGGAGAGAACAGCCCCTGGGCTTGACATGCAGGAGACAAGAGGAATTTGGCTGGTTAGAAGGTCCTGAGCTGTGTAGCCCCGTCTCCACTGCTATCAGGAAATCCCGTACTGTGCCAAGGTTGATCATAAATTAGCAGCCGCTGTAGCAGCTCCTTTAGCAAGAAGAGAATTGTGTGTTTGAGATTTCAGGAGAAGGACAAAACCTCTGCAGCAGGCAGTGGCAAGAGACGCTGCTGTTCTATGGAAAGATCCTTCACTGCAATGCAGGAGTTTTCAGGCAGCGGCAAAAGATTCCTGTGGATTGATTTCAGGGCCGGAAGTTTGCAAGCTCTTGTTGGGTTATAGAGCGCAGGAAAATAGACGGGGCTTTTCATCAGTAGTGCCAGGAGAAGGAGGCAGGTCCTCACGCTGAGGACCAACATGGGCCTCTTGCAAGGTGTCAAGAAGGGTCAAAGGGTGAGGGGTCAGGATTGTCGTTGCTGACCCCCCCCCCCGTTGCCCCACTGCAATCTGAATATCAGTCTTCTCCTCCCTGCATGTATATTTATATTGATTTTGACTATTGTGACCACAAGGCAGGAATCTGTTCTGACGTGTGGGAGCAAGCATCTAAGCAAGGCCCAGTGCTGAGTTTTGTGCAGACAGATATTTGCTGGCATCACTCAGGGACTGGTCTGGTGGGCAGCAGAATGCTTGGTGTTAGTTCAGAGGTGCAGAACCTCAAACCACAGGGCAAATTTCTCATCCTCCACCCTTTCTTTTGGTTGCCAACTTCGTATGTTCTTCCTGTTCTTGGCAGGTCCCACTCCTCCTGTTTGAAAAGGTTGAAATGCCTCTCCTAAAGCTTAGTTCCCGGCTGTAAGAGCTTTAGGATGGAATATGCCAATAATTTCTCATTGTCCCTGTGGCCTCCAGACCTGGCCATGACTGGAATGTGGCCATCCAGATCTCCTCTGAAATTGGGCCTGACCCTTAAGCTGAAAGAGTTTACCCCTTGCCAGTTATAAGTAGATTATTGTGTGATTGGGCTAGGAGAAGAGTATGTGGACTGGAGGAAAGACCATAAGATCTGGCCAACGTGGCATCCCTCTGACGGGTTGGTCTGCAGCTGAAATCATCCTGGCTAGAAAGGAAATCCGAAGTGGTGTTAAAACATTTGGGCCATGTGAAGTTACAAATATATACCCTGCCCCACTTTCTCATTTTAAATTAAGCTTTTGTCTGCAGATTGTTCTTTATCATGAGGCTGA